TGGCTTGCCTTCTCTCGGTGCCCTCAGGAACAGTGCCCCTTCTCTGAGCAGCGCCAGGCGCTTAGTTACGTATCAAAACTCCCTCGACCTTGTCAGCCCCTGGGGAGCTTGCTTTAAATTCGATTTTTACAGAGCTTCGGCGATAATGGTGGCAGCTCTCACCGTTGCTGTGAGCATACACGCTTGTGGATTTGTTGGGAGGTGTAATGCCGCCCATACCTGACCTCGGCCATCCCTGAGACAGGCCCAGCTGAAAGTAGAAAACACGGTGGTGGTCTCACATCTAGCCTTAAGCTTGGGAGGTTCTTGGGGGTGTAACGAGACGTTTTTCTCAGTTGCCTACCAAATATGCTCAAATCTCGGCTCTCTTGAAGTTAACCTGAGAGTGGGGTGGGGGGGATCCTCAGGTCTTGGTGTCTGTGAGGCAGAGCTGCCTTGGAAAGCGAAGTGTGATGGAGAGGGACTACCTTTGGTGGGGATGAGAGGTGGATCTGAAAGCAGATCTTTTGTTAAGATGTGTTGCTAAAGCCTCGCCTTTGGCGCACACATCCCTCAGAGCTAATGAATCATCAGATTTTTATTTCAATCTATTGAACCACTTCGTATGATTCTTTTATTTCCACTAACTCATCCTGTCACCACCTTTGTTCAATTGCCTGATGCCTTCCATTAGTGAAGATTCAGAACATGCCCTGAACCATGGAAGCTATTTCCTGCTCTGTGTATTTCTCATCAGTAATGACTTTATCAGACAGGAACATTTTTCCATGTATTGATGTTGGAATTTCAATAATACCACATTCTCTGTTTGAAAGCATCATTGGTTTCCTCAATAAAAATAATCACCTGTAATTAGATTGCCTTTTCTTTTTGTGCCTAAAGCTAATGAACTTACTCCCTTCTGAAGACTATAGCCACTAGCTCCTGCTGTGCCTCAACACATCTCCTGTGTGAGCTTGTTACAAGCCTACTGAGGAGTGCTGTGGACATCTGTGTCCCTCAGTGCCTGCTTATAAGTTGCACTGTTTATCTTCTTGCTCCAGCAAACTAAATTAATTTAAGACTAGGGGCAAGCTTGAGCTTTTTCCTTGCCCTTTCAAATGCTTCTACTTAGATCTCTGATGATTCTCAGATGTATTCAAGATGTGTCAGTAATTCTAAAGGATAGGCAGCTATCTTCCAGAGCATACACTCATGCAGTTTTATAAATTGGTGGGTTGATTTCATGCATTTTGACTTGGATAGCTTCTCATTACTTTTCAGCTCCCATGTGGAAATGGTCAGATAACATGTGATAGAAGGTCTCAAACTTTGGCCGAACTTCTTTCTGTTAAGCTTAGTTCTTTGCTCTTTGCATTTATTACTAGTATTCATCCTTCAGTGTGATGCATTTTGGTTAAGAGCTATTCCCATAGGAATAATGTTATCAGCTGATCCTGATGATGCATCTTTGAACGAGGCATAAGTCCTGATGTTTGTACTGAATGAAAAGTTACGTCAAATGCTACTAAAAGGTAACCAGCTTAACAAGAAACATACCTGACATGAGAGTAATGAACATCTTTTCTGTGAATAAAACTTAAAAGCATCCTATTCACTTAAAAACTCCAGAACCTTCTGAAATTTGTATCACAGGTGACCGTAATTTTGTCATTCACTGGAATACTTGACTGTAGTTTTAATAACATTCATTTAAGGTCACTGTGTATGATTTGCTACATAAGAAATAAGAAAATGGAAAAAATGCAACCAAATAAATTTCTGTCATGTAGCACTGGAATGATGTAAACATAGGTTATCACGTATGGACAGTACAAGCAGACATCTGCTACTTGTGCTGAGCAATTAAGAACTGTAGCAATTATTCCTAACATGAAAGATCACTTAGAGGGGATGAGACATGTAAAATACTAGCTTTCACCAATAGTCAGAATAGTACAAGCACACTGGCCAGTCAATATTGCTGCTATTTCTCATGGGTTATATGTAGTTGGCTCTGCAATCTACAGGAAGGTTTAGCTGGCTCCTGTAAAAGAAGAGCTGCAAACTCATCAGTCCCATGTCACATGCTGCCTGCTGCAGTGTGTGGGCAATGTTTGGACCAACTACAGTCACACTGCAGGTGTTACTCTTTGATTGTAGGTGTTCAGCTCATATTGCTGCCTTTCTATCCCAAGGCAGAGACAGCACCGAGTTAGGGCAAACTCAGTTTGATAAGCTCATTGGAATATTCCAAAAGAATGGCCATTATTCCCTCTGATCTATATGCCACGTAATACCGTGCATAGTTCACTTTTTTAGATCTGTCTCTGTTTTGTCTTCTGGATTCCCTTAGCCTGCTTGAGCGTATTTTGTACTGGATCTATTTCTTCTACCTCTGGCTTTTATTTCTTTACATTCGCAGTCTTTCATGGGCTTTCATATTCATCAGACACAAATGAGTGTGCCAGTGCTTATTATTCCTGGAGGTGGTATCACTTCTTTTTTTCCCCAGTAAGATAGTACCAAAAGCTTTGCCTTCGTATTTTCCATCTTTATTCCTTTAGGCAGCTCTCAATACAGACTTGGTGTTTGCTTCCAGGCCTGTACAGGATTTTTTTTGTCTAGAAATTAAGCTCTATGATGACTGCTCTTGTTTCATCATTCTGCTTTGTTTTCATGCTAATCACAGTGTTTTTCATTATCCCAGTCTTTTAGCTTGACCTTTGGCACAATGTTTCTGGTACCTGATGCTTAGTAATTAGAAAGGACACCAAATGTGTATCCCCAAAATATTCATAATTAAAACAACTGTTTAAAAAGCTGATGTAACTGCAGCTTCGTGCATATCTCTGTGCCCTTCCAGATTCTCTCTTCCTCCAGCAGGCCCTAATCCTCTAATCTATACTGTCTAAGAATCGCCCTCTAAGAGCCATCTGTCAGCTTGCTCCTGTCCAGTATGGAGCAAACAAACCTAGCCTTCCTCTGAGGAGAGGCAGCAATCCCAAGTGTAACTCCATAAACTCCTAAAACAGGGATTTGTCCCCACTAGAGTTTACGTGACACTTTTTGACCACAAACTTTTTTTTTCTATATCAAAAATTGTCTCAGTTCTGCTGGTTAAATTAACTCAAATAAAGGGCGGTGTTGCTGATGGACTCATTTCAGCTCCCAAACCATTACTTAAAGCTATTGTGTGCATTCTTAGACTACTCTACAGCCTGCAATCTAAATACATCCTTCTGTCTTCCAAGCAGTTGTCTTAATTTTTTACTCCATTGAGAACTACTTATCAGCTATATGAGAAAAGAAACACAAAAGTTTTGAAAATTAAGGGCTGAATGCACATCAGCTTTACCTGAAAAAATATTATTTAATATTATGAAAATTGTATTAGAAATAAGATCTACAGTGAACAGAGTCAACTTGAAAAAAGGTTACTCATACACAAAGTACAATAACACTGATTAACATTAAATATTTGAACAGTGATTAAAACTGAATCCAGTAAATTGCCAGGAAAGGCTATGTAGATCACTCTGTGATGAGTACTGAAATGTTATTAGAACTCATTAGTAGAAGATTACACTCGAGAAGCAAAATTTAAGACAAACCCAAAAATAGGCCATTAAGAAATTAAAGAAATATTCTCAACGGAAGAAATAACTTAATTTTTAAAAATGTAAATATGTATGATTATTTCTGTTTTTCCAGGAGTTATCGGGTAGAGTAGATCAAAACAGCTCAAAAAATGTTAAGATAAAAGCTCACTTGTACTTTTTAGAGTAGCTGCTAGGCTATGAACAAAAGTGGCAGTGGATCAGCAAACCTTAAATATTTTCCTGAGTACTCAAACTGCATAAAGCAAAGCATCTGGTTCTCTCTTTAGCTTCATTTATCAGGATGCTGTCAAAGCAGCTATGGATCAGGTGGAAAATACACTGAACTAAACATGGAGTATCCTTCAACATACTACAAATTCTAACTCCAAGCTCGTTGAAATTAAAAGTACCTATTTCTTTGAGCATATTTACTGGAAACTATTCCCACGTAGAAATGCCAGAATGACTTCATAAATTGAAATCATAATTCTTGGGAGCCAGATTTTGCTATGATTTATAAAAATGCTGTCCTGTTGAAATTTCCTTCTGTGCAGCAGGTCAGTAAAAGGTCTTTTCACCATTACAGTGCTGGCACTCAGTGCATGGTGGAATTCTACTTAAAAAATTAAATGGACTGTTACTAAGCAGAAAGTCTGGATGAAACCAGAAAACACATTCAGCAAGAAAGTAAACTGGTGACTAGCAATCCCCCAAATTCTTTTTTAAAAGCCAAATTTTGTGGTCTAAGTTGATCGAGATATTCTGCAAACTGAGGAGAACTGCCTACATGAGAATGCATTCAGTTAGGAAATCTATGGAAGTCTTTCTAATTGTTCTGCAACCCTCTCATGTATAAAAAAAATCCAAACAGTTCCTTTTTACTTGTCTTTATCTTTGTGTTAAGGAATGTATCCTGATGGGATTTTCCAGCTGAAAGAGACCATCAAGAAAAAGTTCCAGTGATAACAGGAATTATTAATACATGAATATGTGCCAGTCATGTCTATGTATCTGTCCTGTTCTATGACCTGAACTAATTATTTTAGCTGCTAAATATATATTACATGAAAATATAAAAGCTACACTTACTGCAGTTAATAACTTTTTACATTTTAAGGTAGGCATTCAAATTTACGTGTTCATTTGAGGCGAGGGATTTTTATATGGAGAAAAGACACCAATCAGTCAATCAGTTTCAACTAATCAGTGCCTTAATGGATACATTTGCAAAAGTATTATCGCAGCGATAATCACCTTCCTGCACTTTAACTCTGATAGTTATCAAGGGTTTCCTTAAACAAAATTTCTGTCATTATAATATGATGTAAATGCTGGAAAAAAAAATATCTTGCACTTTGGCTGCATGTTCATATTAAATATATATCTCAAGAAAATTATATATATATATATATATATTTACCAGGTACAGAAATGTACGCTGTGTTTGCGGACTGCAAGAGTTCCATACTGAAGTTTCACAAACAGGACCCTAAAAAGAACAAATTAAGATTATCCTTTTCAGATTAACAACATCAAACTCATGATATGAAGTCAAGGGTACATAACTTTACTTGCAACTTAGCTTTGGAATAAAGATGATAATAATTTGACTTTGTGAAATATAAAAATAATAAATGCTTTGCATCTGTACAACACCTCTTACTGAAGGATCTGAAAGCATTCAGTGTTAATTTCATGTCATCTTGAAACCAGAACATTTTAAATTCCATTTCAAAAAATTTGCATGCTGCTACTATATATTCATTTTTGCTCCTTCATCTGATTCTGTTTGCCTGTATATTTCCACAAGACCAGGAAAGCAATTGGAGTTTTTTGATTGTTATATATTATCATGTTATGAGAAGCATTTTTAATACAGATTCTTTTCCATGGATGGGTTTTTATCACAAGATTCTGAAGGAGCATTTAAAATCAAGGAGGATGAACATATGTGGCCTGCCTTATATGCTCATCGAGGAACCAGAACAGTATGATCCATCTTTTCCATTTCCTTCAGTAAATCTATATCTAGTTATGATGGTCTAAAATTGCTGTATTGGTTTTCAAATCCTTTTGTGAAATAAATTGATCCATTAGGCTATTTATCTGCTCAGAATTCTGGAAACCAAATGTATTTTCTCTCTGAGAGGAGATCTTCATAGGTTCATAAGTGAAAAATTTGTTTCAGAAAGGGAATATGTCTGTGTGTGTACTAGTAATATTGAATGGTAAATCAGTCTTTTTCCCCAAAATTGCTCATAATGTTGTTTCCATAAAAGAAGTCGGCTAGGAAAGCTGTACAGTCTACCTCTACAAGTCATGATTCTCTTCTCCCTAGCCCAGAGGCTGGAGGAATACAAAGTTTCAGCAGAAAGCCAGGAAAATAAAGTAGAATATCACTGTCAATCAACTTATACAGAACAATAAAATGTCAGTTACACTACAGGGTAATTTTAAAAATTCTGTCCAAAATTGATGTGGAGGTGATTTAGCTCTATAATGTAGAGAAAGAAGTAATTTAAAAGATCTTTGAATATGCAAATCTTTTCCAAACAGTAGCAACTCATCTGTAAGTCAGCAACAAAAGAAACAGTAAAGACTGTAGCAAAATGCCTGAATCTGATCCATTTGTTACACAGAATATATCTACTACAGAGTGGAAAAAAAAAAAAAAAAAAAACAACTTGCTTGGTATTATTGCTAATAAATTAATTTATGATTTATCAGATACAAAGTATTCAAACACATGGTAAATTTAATAAAATCTTAGTTTTTCACTGTCCCAATGTAGTCTGAGAGCTGTGAAAGACATTTTTAAGACTACAAACTCCAAGACAGCCATACTTTAAAATTTTTTAATAAATCAATACAAGGAACATATTAGTGAGTCCAGTTTTATAAGATAACTTGAATAAAAGGAAATAAAAGATACTGACCAGACTTTGCTAAGATCCAAAACACACAAAGAAAAACATCTGAAGCAAGTGATCACTTCTTCAAATAGACAAGAGTCAAAATAATATTTAAGCAAAAAAAAAACCTTCCTAAACATTATGAATAAATATGAAAGCTGCAGCCACGGAGTTTGTCACTTGTACAGCTGTGTCATTTACAGTAACCTGCCTCTTAAGACAATGAGTTCACATAGGTGCAGAACTTTGTAAGGAGTTCTCCTGAAAACAGCTGTCCTTAACTGGCTTCTGAACCCTGCCTCGTGTCATGACTCCAACACCCAGACAGGGTTTGTTTGCTTTCCAGAACACCGTTGCCTCATCTCTGAAGAGATACTGGTAAACCAAGGGTGCTGTTCAGCACTGCAGATGAACAGCTACTTGGATAGCATGACAGGAAAACCCTAAGTCTTCATGATTCAAGAAGTGCTGATGACTATTCGTAATTTCAATGTTAAAAACTATTCAGTATCAGGCTCTACCCAGTATCAGGCTAAACTCTCTTCTTCTGTTTAGCCAAAAGTTTTCAACCCATGCTTTGTTGAATCTGAGTTCAAGTTCAACCATCATATGACAGTTTCATCAACTGTTCTGTTATCTTTGCTAATAAGCCATCTGGCAGGGTGTCATCTTCTACTGAAAACAGGTGTTTGATCCAATTCTCATTTGTTATACTGTCAAGAAAGCATTCACTGAAGTTGGTGACTAAATTCAGGCAATGTTCTTGTACGTCAGCAGAAAGTCAGGATGAATTTTGAATTAGCATTAAAACATTTCCATGGTTAGAACATTTGCCAATTTATCCCATGTCTCTCAATTAATCTCACTGTATTTTAAGATGCAATTTCTTTATCTTGCCCTTGTTCTCTATTCTGATTGTTATCTGATTATTATGTAATGTGCATATTTTAATCTCTATATATTGCATTCTATTCATTGCAATGCAAGAACAAAAAGTTAAATGGATGAGTTCAAGAACCTTAGATTGTTGAAAAATTACTTACCTCAATCAAAATTAAAACTGCCCCCACAGAAGATTTGTTACTTACAATAGAATTCAGAGTTGTGAGCCAATACCGGCCTAAGTTACCGCCTTCCTGTGTTTAGAAAAGAGGATTTGGACAGTCATTTTCCACTTTATTATGAAATATGAAAACCAAACAGAGCTATAGCGCTAAAGAAACTAAGTTCTTTAACGATAAAAAAACAAATACCTGGCTGACCAACATTTTGACAGCTGCTGCTTTGTGGTGAATACTGAATACACACTGAATATGGAAACAGGTGACTCTTCATTTTTTACCAGAACAATACAGTTATTGCCATGATCACTCTCAACAAGAGCACATGCCAATGTTACTCCATTGTGGATCCTAATTATAAAAAAATTGCCATGTCACAAAACAAGATTTTTTAAAATTTTATTTTCTTTTTTGACATACATGTACAACCTGACCAAAATAATTAGTACTTTGCTTTGACTACAGTGAAACAAAAATCTGTATTTGTAAATGTTCTATGGGCCCTTTCCTACTTGAAAAAAGCCCAGTTGGGAATCCTTCTTGACCCTAGGTAAAAAAAAAAAAAATATCAAACTACCTTGCATCATATTCTCTATGACTTGACATCACAATGTTTTTCTGCCACAGTAAAGATATATGTATCAAAAAATGTTGAAGGTTTCTCAGTGTGAGCAATCCCTGAAATCATATGACTCTTCTAAGGCCTTCATATAGGAAGTTGGCATTACTTTCAGTTAATTTAGATTTCTATTAAAATATAATCAAGAGGATCTTTTCAAGAGCTGTACTTAGTATCAAGGGAAGAGTTTCACTATATAATTGAATAACAGATTATAGAAATAATGTTGTAAGGCACTGGTCCATTATACCACTGAAATAAAACCCAAATGGTAAGTAGCAGAGACTCGTACTTTTTAACAATCTTATGCTCCACAGCGTTCCCAAGATGAAGTCTAATAGCTGTGCTTGAATTCTTTTCTATTCCCACCACCACCACCACACACAAGTCATTATTCAGTTCAAGCTTATTTTATTAACTGAATTTTGCTGTGTTTCTTTGTGGGTTTTTTTGGTTGTTGTTTTGCTTTGGTTTGTTTTTTATTCAACAGCTACCCAAATTTCCTTCATTCATAAAAAGTAAAAGAGATAAACTGAAATTGCTTTATTGTCAGTATCTATTTGGGGATGATTCCTAGATTAGAACCTTAAAATCTGTGGTTGGATCATTAGGATGAAAAGTCAAGAGAGTTAAGACTTTATAAGAAGAAAATAGCACAGCATTTCTAAGTTGTTCAAAATTCAGTATCAAATTATTTGGAGTGTTATTCAGTTACTGAAAAATGGTAACTGAGGAAAATTTTTAAATCCTCCCAAAAAGCAGTTTCTGTAATGTTGCAGGGAGGGGGACAGAATTTCAGTTTAAGTGACATAAAATAAAAGCAAAAGGCATCAAGAAGCTGTAATGAATCAGACTGAAAGTCTGTGTAAACCCCTAGTCTGTGTTCTCACCAATAGTGACCAGTTGTCTTAAGGACCAAGTTAAGAACAAGAAAAACCTCTACATGATCTCCTGCCTTCCATCTCACAGAGGCTTAAGGACTTTGTGAGGTGATAACCTTGAATCTATTAAGTTAGATAATGCCTGTACAGTATCCTCATACTATCTAGTTACTATGACCCAGGTCAAGAATAAGGACTTAAATACGAAAATATGCACAGCAATTGGGAAATATTTAAGAAATGCTAACAAAAAAGCCAAAACACTAACAACTTATGACTGGGGAAAAAAAAAAAAAAAAAAAGAGGACAGCACTGAATGAAAAGCAATTTGGCTTGAAAATAAAGATACATAAGAAAAACATCTATAGCAAATACTGGAAGCTGCAATGAATATATACAAGAGATTTAAGAACTAAAAAAATGAGAAGGGAAACAAAATGACAAAACCCAATGATCAAACTGATAGAACAGCATTTAAAAGAGATGTTTTTCTGAAGAGAAGAAAGAAAAGGATCCTAACAATATTGTTGGAATATGCTTGCAGAGATACTACAAAAGCAACTGGAAGCCTTCACTAAATATTTCTGTTCTGTATATAGAGAAATAATCAGATGATGTAATTATACTATAGGATGATGATGAAACATTCTCCATTGCAACTGTAGTCAGGTAGGTTTATAAATAGTAGCCACTAAAACCAACTGAGTGTATCTGCATATTTCGATAAGTTGTATCACAGTTTTAAAACAGGTGGAAAGTTCATTTTGGGCCTCTAAGAACCCATGAAATATTTGTATTCCAGGAGTATGTTAGACCAGTAATTTAAAAGGGTGGTGGCATAGGGAATTACAGGCCTGTCCATCTAACATGGAACTTAGTGCAAAACCAGAACTGATAAGAACATACCAGAATATAGTTTATATGAAATTTAATTAATGCTTATCGATGCCAGTTTTTGAAAAATAGATCCTCTCAGATCTATCCACAAATACTTGTTCAAGAAGGTTTGTTTTGGCTGATGAAGAAGAAAGTGCTGATCTGATGGCATTTATTTAGTGCTCCAGGATATTTTGTTTAGGAAACCTGAAGGAATCAAAATTAATGCACATATATTTAATGACTAAATGACTGCTCTCAAAAGAGAAGTGTAAATGGTAAATATTAAGTGAATTTCTGGTTTGGTTCCATGGGAACTGTGTTTTGGCCATGTGCTGTGTAACAGTTTCATTGATTACCAAAAAAAAAAACCAAAACCTCACAAAGGGGTTCATCAGTACTGAGCACGCCGATTTCTTGATAAATTGGCTGCAAGCAAATATATGAAGTCATACATGAAAGAATGAAGAGCAGACGTTGATCCTAGAGTGGAGGAATCTATGTAAGAAAACAGAGTGGAAAGCAGAGCTGCTGGGAGTCTGCTAGATAACCACCTAAGAGTGAACCCCATTGCAACACCAAGGCCAGTGCACAAATTCAGTCCACCAGCGTGAAAACAACAGAATGAGGACAGTGAGAGTGTTACAGGCAGGCTGAATCACATCGGTACCTGGCACTTGGTGCGACCATTTCTGGAACAGTGTGTTCTATTTGATGCCTTTGCTGAAGATGCCTGTTGATAAATTGGAAAGAGTTCAGGGAAGGGTCACAAGAATAATTACACTGTAATAAAAGCTACAGCTATTTAGTTTATCACAACAAAGGTTAAAAACTGACCTGATGATAGTTGTTTGTTTTTGTTGGTTTTTTTTTTTTTTTTTTTCCCTCAGCATATTGAAATATGCATCCTCAAACTTCTAAATGGCACAATATTATTCCTTCCCTCCCAGGTTTTATTCATCTTGGTGTCCTCAAAAGTTACATAAAATGGCAGTTCTGGGACTCAGTGACAATTAGATCCAGAGATTAGATTTTTCTAGGTAGATTTTTCACTACCTTTCTATTAGTGATTTAATTCACTTAAGTAACCTGTTTAGATATCAGTAGAAAAGAAAAAATGGTTTAGCAAAGTGGAAAAGGAAGGGGGGTGGAAACCAGCAGTTTGTAAAAAAATGTTAACACTGTACCAAGAGAGTTCAAAAACAGGTTTCTCATTAAAATGGAAAGATTGTTTTAGCAATCTTAGTTTAATTTACACCACACTAAGCACAATACAAGGCTGCAAATAAGTTCTGTGTTTACATTAAAATGCATATTATTTCTAGATGAGAAGCATATAATTTAGCATATTCTATTAAAAAGGCTACACAGAATTTTTTTACTTGAATAATCTACAGATTCAAACTGTCCACATATCTCACACCCGCCTGTATAAGCACAATCCAAGGACATCAGTTCTGATTTAATAAAGACATCTAGCAGAGCAGTAGTTTATGTGAAAAATGCCAGCCACTAGTGCTTGAACAGGCACTAGACAAAAACCAAGAAGACTCTTACAAAGTACTGGGTGATTCTGAAGTAATTTTTGAAAACACTGAACGTAATTAAGTTTTGACTGAAGACTATGGCTGTTAGGTAATTGGTTTGACCAAGAAGAAGACAAGGCCCAGAACAGGATATTCCAGTTGATCCCATACTAATTTCATATTAGTTCAGTTTTGTGTAGTTAATGGAGGAACCAACGAAAATGAGAATGGAATCAACCTAATGGTATAGGATCCATAAGAAGTTTTCAAGATTAATTTCCACAAGTGTTATCATTTTGATAGGAAAATTTTGTTCTTTCTACTGTAGCTTCTTCTCCTCCAGAAGAGGTAGAAAGTGGTAGAAGTACAACCAAAGCGATCCTTCAGCCTTACCCCAGTACCACAAAGAGCTGCCCAGACCTTCAGGAATTGGCAGTACTCTAGAGTTCAAATACATGTTTCCATTTCTGTGAACATTTTTTGCATCCTGCGTTATTTTCTAAGGCAGTAAGACCACTTCATTTCCATCCACACTCGATCAGACACTGTTAAATAACAAACAGCTAACCTTCTAACAGCTGCCTTTATGTTACCTACACACCTGAAGTGACAAATAACCCAGCTCTGTATGCCCATTTAGTTGATATATTCTTAATCTTTTGCTGACGATGTTCTTCACAGCCTTTGAGAAGCATCCACCTGTGACCCTGTTTCAATATGGGGATTTTGCCACAGGCACACTCATAACAAATTGCTTTTAGAAGGAGGTACCACATTATTAGATGCAAAAAAAATCCTTTCCAAATACATTTCACACATTCAATCTGATGGATTTCCTAAATGGCCAGATTTCTTTTGAGGTGGTAATTTCTGCAACATAGAATTTGATTTTGTGCAACAAAGAACAGATTAGCTCAAAATCACTTTTTTTCTGAACAATAATTTAGATGTGCATAATGATAATAGTTTTATAGCTGAACAATCAGAATTTTTATTTTCTGTTAGCATTATCTAACTGAGCAAAATGCCTGGGAGCCTACAGTTAAAAACAAACACCTCAGATATGACTTTACACAAAAAATTTTCACATTCTCGAAGATGTCATGGAAAGCATGTGGAAGGAAGTATTTTTCTCTATCAATCCAGGACATTGGATAAGAGACTAATTTACCTGTAAATGTTTAATATAAAAAATATATATTCTGAAAACCTATGAATGGAATTTGTCTGAGACAATGATAAAACAGATGAATTTTTTTGTATAAACTAAAAAAAAAAAAAAATTTCAAACCACAAAATGGCAAAGCCACAGCTCTGTCTTCCTAAATAGAACGGTATTTTCCATTAGCCCTCCTTAGGAATGATACTATTTTAAGAAAATATTTTATTTATTCAGTCTTTCTCTTGTCAAGCTTCATTTAAAGTCTTTTAAAAGCAATTATATCTCATATCTTTTGATTAGGACATCGGAGCCTATTTTTCACTCAATCCAAATTAAGATACTGTGCTTTTCGATGAATTTATATCTGGATGTATTAAAAGCTTAGCAAGATAAAGTAGGGTTAAAGCCATATCCAGAGTTCATGGGAGGATGAGTAAGACTGCAGATGAATGCTGATTAAACTCTCCAGCAAAGACTAAGGTCTTCCTTTAAACATCCGAGAAGTGTCAATTCCGTGACATTACTGCAGCCTCCCTAAGTGGATACCACTGGATTCATAGAAAATGGAGCTGGAAAGGATCCTAAACTGTCTAATCCAAACTACATTCCAGAGATACTTCAGCTGAAGTGGTGAATAGGCCATCCATCCATCAACTGCTGTGAAAGGAAGTTAGTGGCTGCCCTTCAAGTGGAAGTAACTGGATGACTTGGAAAACCTTCCAGTCCAGTTTGTCAGAGGAACATCATAGGACAGCCCCTGCGGCAATGTTAGCAGTTCAGGGAATGAACAAGGACTGGAAGCCTCTCCAGGAGAAAGTGTCTACATAAAAAGCTGGAGGCAGGGCAGAGGAAAAGAGGACAGTTTAACTGCAGAAATAGCAAAACAAGGAACATCGCTGCAGCTGAGAGGGAGAAGCTTGTCAAAGTGATATTGATCCACAGTTCACACACAAGGGGGAGAAGCTTCTTGAAAGTCTCCCGAGAAGAGCTATCCCGTGCCTGAAAAATACTGAGATACAGAAAGCAGTTCCTCACTGTTGTTCATAAACTTGCACTTACGTAACCTGTTTCTGTTGGGGTGTGCAGCAGTGAAACTACATGGATGTTGTGTTAGAAAAGATAAAATCTAATTGGAACATCAGACTTGATATAGGACAATTAAGCAACTGAAATAATCTACTCTGACTTGCAGTATGCTACAAAATATTACAGAAGCTACCCCCTGCTTAGCACTCCTTAGAGCCCATCTAGAATAAATGCATCCTGTTTTGGGCTCCCCAGTAGAAGAGAAATGTTGATAAACTGGAGTGAGTTGAGTGGACAGACCCAAAGATGGTCAGGGATGACAGCACTTGCCCTTGAAAAGAGGCTGAGGGAACTGGGCTTGTTCAGCTTGTGGCAGGCTTAGAGGGGACATAATAGCAGCTCTTCGATGCTTGTGATCATCGTGAAGACGGAGCCAGACTCTTCACAACTGTGCAGTGGTGGGCAACAGACAAATTAGGATGAGGGAGGTGGTAACTGAATAGAAGAGAACCGTTTTTCACCATGAGGCCACCCAAGCACGGGCTGCCCAGAGAAGGCTACGCAATCTCCATCCTTGGAGGTTTTGCAAGATGAGGCTGGACAAAGCTCTGAGCAACCTGGTCTGACCTCGAGAGCTGCCCTTGCTCTGAGCAGTAGGTTGGACCAGAGATGTCTACAGGTCTCCTCCTGTGACCTGACGCTCACAGATGCTCAGGAGTGATCGCAGTTCGTGGCCTTTTACTCGCCCAAAGGCGTACGAAACGCCTTGCTCTTCAAAACGCCAAATTCCGATGCCAAGGGCAGAGGCGGCGGTACAGCGGGAAGCTTCCACCACCTCTGCGCTACACCCGTGCACAGCCCCCCGCCTGCGGGGCGCGCCTGAGGGCGGCCAGAGCAGACGGTGCTTCCCGGGGAGCCGGGGTCGGCTCTCGCCCGGGGCACCCGGCCCGCGGCTCACGGCCAGGCACAGCCCCTCACCGCCTCCGCTCGGGTGCCTCACCGCAGGCACACCCCCCCCCCCCCCCCCAAACTTTCCCCGGCAGCCTGCGCACGCCCTCCCTCCCCGCCGGGGGAAAACGTGCTCTCGCTCCCTCCGTGCAGCGGGGACGGGGAGGCGGGCAGCCTGACTCCCTCCTCCCCCCCCCCCCCCGCCCCGGCTCGCCCGCCCGCGGAAACCTCGCTGAGCCTCCCGCATTGCACCGCCGTGCCGTGCCGTGCCGTGCCGTGCCGTGCCGTGCCGTGACCGTGCCGTGCCGTGCCGTGCTGTGCGCGGGGCTCGGCGCTGCCCACCCGCGCCCCGCCGGCGCCCCCGTCCCCGGCTGGCGGTATGAGCGCCGGCGAGGCGAAGGAGTACCTGGCCCGCAGGGAGATCCCGCAGCTTTTCGAGGTAGGCGAGGGGGAGCGGGGCGGGGGGAAGCGTTTTCCGCCCCGTCGGGGGGTGGGGGGTGCTCCGCGCTGGGACCCCGCGGCGGGCAGCGGGCTGAAGGTGGCTGGAAGGACGGAGCAGCCGGGCGCTGCGGCGCGCGTACCTTGCGCGGGGAGCCGCGCCGCGGAGGGCCGGCCCCCGCCCCGGGCCGCGGGGCGCAGCCGGGTGGGTGACCGCGGCTCCCGGGGCTGCCCGGGCCGGGAGCTGCCGGCCGCTGCCCACTTGCCGTGAGCCTCCGCGGGCGCGCAGGCGACCGCGCCCCTCCGCGATGCTGCGGGTGGCCGCGCCTGCCCTTCCTCAGGCGCCCGGGGAGGGAGCGAACTTGTGCGGCCGCAGGGCAAAGGACCCCCGGGGCCGCTCTGCCGAGGAATTCAGGCGGGGGTTATCTTCCAGGTTTTCTCCAGATTTTCATCGGTCTGGGAGAAGGAAAACCCCACAAATGCTTAGTGAGGTTTTGTTTAGCTTCCTACAACTTGCCTGCTGCTAATGGTTGATAATTACTTCTCTGTACAATGTGGATTTTTATTTTTTTTTTCCCTTCTGAATCAGGCATCCTGCCATCTATATAAAACACACAGACATAGACATATATGT